GTCTTCCCTGCTCTGAAATGAGTGCTTCATCCACCTTGATATCCTGCAGTGGAGTTTCCTGTCTGGCCTGACATTGACCTGACCTTTCAAGCAGGTGCTTTTGCCCAGAGCTGGATGACATGGTATGCTTTTGTATTCAGGTATTCCCAAACAGAGGTTTTGGTGGTTTTTTGCTTATTTCATTTGAGTTTATATTTGTTTCATGTTTAATCGGTAGCGCAGCGGCACTGCTGATAGTAGGAATAAAAGTGCTCCGTCATGAGTAGCTTAAGCTGTTACAACATGGAAGGAACATGTGGGCCTGCTCAGGGGAGCAGCCTCGGGAGCAAGAGTTCCCGAATCCTCCAGCAGGCACTAGAGGTACTAGTGGTTTTTAAAGACTGAGAAGGTAGCTTTTGCCACCAAGAGCAGGGCAGCTGGGCAGGCCTAGGAGCAGAACCTGGTCCAACTTCTGGGCTCAGTCCTTCCTTACTTATCCGTTGTCTACCCAGTAGCCATCAAAACAAGCAAGGAGGATTGGACACTGCAGCCCCCTGAAGTGCCTTGATTCCGTCGTTGGGAAGGGTGCCTACAGGAGAATGTTTAGGACACCAGTACGTGTGGGTGGTGTGCGCTGGATGGGGGAGCTGGGGAAGTGGAAACACCGAGCATTTTCCTGTGGCATAAGATTAGTCTTGGCTGTAATGTCTCTCTAAGGAGCTGCTATAATTAATGCAAAATACTCTAGTTACTACTTAATAAATACTGAGGCCCTTCTAAATAGCACAAAATTAAGAGCCTTTATTTAGTCGTGCCTACAGTTGAGGTACGAGTTAGCCTTTCTAACAGTTTGGTGCCTCCTGGCAGTGGCCATGTTAGGGACAGGGGAGGGAGAGGAAGGCAAGGCCCTTCCTGGGTGCTGGGGCGCTCAGACCCGCTCCGGCTGCCTCAGTGCTGAGGCTCCCTGCAGAGAAAGGATGGCAGAAAAGGTACCTTCCCCTAAAAATGCTGCCAAAGGAAGGGTAGGGTCACTGAGTGCATACGCAGCGGTCAGCACTCCGCCGGGCTGACCTCCTCCGCAAACGGCAGCCGTTTCTCGCTCCCCAGCTCGGCACCGGCACGGGTGAACGGGAGGGGAAAGCTGACTGGCCCCGGGCCTCGGCGGGTCCGAGCGCCCTGGGGCAGATGGCGGAGCCGGGTCGCTGTTTCGGGGGTCTCTTAGTCCTAAGAGTCTGGCGGAGCCCCGCGCCCTGCCCGGGAGCGGCCTCGGTTTTAGCCCGGCAGCGGGGCGGTGCGATGTGATGTGCGGGGCTCGGCGGAGAGGTGCGGTGCGATATGCGGGACACGGCGTCGCCGGGGCGAGGCCGGCGGCGGGCGGGGCGGGCGCGGAGGAAAGCGGGGGGTCTCCCCTGCTCACCCTCCGCCCGCGGGCGCGGCCCCGGCTGCGCGCAACACGGCAGCCGCCCTCCGCGTGTGCGCAGTCCCCTTAGCGCGGCGGGGCGGCAGGCCGCGGAGGGGAAACGGGCAGGAGCCTTTTGCCCAGGCGTCCCGTGAAGGGGCTCCGATTCTCAGGGCAGCTTGGGCAAAGGGCGGATGATTCCTCATTTTCTCTCTGCAAATAAAAACGTTACCTTCCAAACTATAGTGTGGCTCGGCTTGATAAATCTGGAGCCTTTTTTGTTGTTGTTGTTGTAGTATTGTATTGTATTTTTTCCAGCAAGGATGCCAGTGCAGCTCACCCTGTAGTGCAAACGGACCCAGAAAGAGAGAGGAAGATAAAATGAATTTAAATTCCAAAGGGGTTTCAGTGCTGGTTTCCTAGTCCCCGAGTCAGCAATGTGTTTGTGAAAATTCAGCCTTTTTGTCTCTTAGAAAAAAAGGGCTAAATCTACATCGGTGGCCCAGTCTAGGTTTGCTATTCTTTGCATTTTCTATTCAAGTGAATGAGAGTGAATGAAGTGGCCTGGGACCCTTTATTTGATCTACTCAATTGCATAAAGTGACAGAATTCTAATATATTTGTTTAATGCTCTTCAATGGGGCTTTCACTTTCTAGCTTGCAAATGAAGCCTCGATCTGCAAAGTTTTGTCCTTTTTTTCTTTCCACCTTTTTTTTTTTTCCTGGCAGAGAGACCATATTTCATAACTTGGGCCACGGTTTGAAGTGATTTCGAGAGGAGTTTTAGACTCGAAAAGTGGGAAATAAAGAAACAGATGTGAAGTTATTGTAAATTCTTATAGTGGGCTCTGGGGCTATTGTAAACCCACTGCAGGCGGTCCAAAGCCTCTCTTTTTCATGCTGTAATTGAAACATATTAATTAGATAATTTGTTGTTAGTTTAAAAGAAACAAATACAGCCCCTCCAAGGCTTCACAGCCTCGGTTCCTTTTTGTTAATAAAAACAAAAAACAAAACAGAACAAAAAAAACCCACAAAGTGACATTTATATTAAGATTCCGAGATAATTCGGCCCTGAAGTTGATGAAGCTGCTAAGTTTTTTCTCCCTTTCCCAAGGACCACTTTTGAAGAAAGGCTGGCTCATAAAACTCTCTCTCAGGGGTCGCCGGGGAGTTCTTTTCTCCCTACCTGGCACAGACCGCCCTTCCCTGCAAGGCGCGGTCCGAGAGAAAATAAATATTCTGGGTGAGAAAGAGCCGGCTTTCTTCAATAGAGGATTCAGTCTTGTGGGGTGCTGTCTTGTCACACGTCGAGGGGGAGAAAAACAAAACAAAACCAAACCAAAAAAAAAAAAAAAAAAAAAAAAAAAAAAAAAAAAAGAGAAAAAAGGGAAAAGAAATATCCCGACGAGAAAGGATTCACATACCATGCACTGACATGAAGCAAAATCCCGAGTCGCCAAGCACGACTGGGTTCGCGGGCTTACCTTGCACAGCCGGGCTCAAACTCATCCTCCGGAAGAAAAGAGCTTTTGCCTGGAATAGACGCTCTCTGTGCATCAAGTACGCCCAGCTTATAATGTCTCACTGGCAAATAAAATTAAAAAGAAAGAAAGAAATCCCCCC